AAGAATGCAGCACTCCAGTTTGAAAAAGACAGATGCACCCCTATGTTTATCACAGCACTATTTACAATAGCCAAGAAATGGAAGCAACCTAAGTGTCCATCAGTAGATGAATGGATAAAGAAGACGTGGTACATATACAGAATGGCATATTATTCAGCCATAAGAAGAAAACAAATTCTACCATTTGCAACAACATGGATGGAACTAGAGGGTATTATGCTCAGTGAAATAAGCCAGGCGGAGAAAGACAAAGTACCAAATGATTTCACTCATCTTTGTGGAGTATAAGAATGAAGAAAAAAACTGAAGGAACAAAACAGCAGCAGAATCACAGAACCCAAGAATGGACTAACAGTTACCAAAGGGAAAGGGACTGGGGAGGATGGGTGGGAAGGGAGGGATAAGGGGGTGGAGGGAAAAGAAAGGGGACATTACAATTAGCATTTATAATGTGTGGAGAGACACGGGAGGGCTGTGCAACACAGAGAAAATAAGTAGTGACTCTACAGCATCTTACTACACTGATGGACAGTGACTGTAATGGGGTTTGTGGGGAGGACTTGGTGACACGGGGGAGTCTAGTGAATATAATGTTCCTCATGTAATTGTAGTTTAATGATACCAAAAAAAAGTATTTTGCAATTTAGAACACAATTAAATAATAACTAATGAAATTTCTAAATAATAGAATTTGAGCATTTCCAAACCAGAAAGGTTAGCTGGTTTTCATAATGATTGAAATAAGCAAAATATCACTGCTGGGCAATGGGGCATGTAACTCATATTTCATGAATGATTTCCCATACAAGTAGCTAGGATCTAATCAGCTGGATTAGAATCAAGGTAATTTATTCTATGAATTCATAATCGTGCATTACCTTGAGCACTTAGTCACATCAAACTTTATTGTGAATGGCTGCTAGAAAAGCCCATTCAATTGTGCTATGAACTGACTCACTTCATGCAGTGTTGTCTCAACTCTTGAGCTACTCAAGGAAATATTCAGGGACCATCTCAGATAGTGCTGGGTAGTCAGTGATTCAACTTATTATACTAAACGCTAAGCTCTGACTCAGAGTGAACCCTATTAGCTGCTGACTGACACTATACATATTTGAATAGAAGCCTGCACTGAGTCACCTGGTGGCACACCGAGAGCCAACCTGATATTCCCAATCCGACAGTGATTCACACCATAATCATACTGGAACTTGACACATGTGATTTCAAAACTCAGTTCTGCTTAACTGCCTTGGGAGCATGCTAGAATGTCCCTCCCCACTTAATGCCCTAAATTTCTGTCAGGAACATGTGGTAGTTATACAGAGATGCAAAGTCAAGGGGAAAATACCCAGCTCACTCCCTGGAGAGAGCCATGTTTCCTTCTTCAAGGACTCAGGCAGCTCCTAGAAGTGCCTTTCCTGAAGACACACCGTTCCTATAAAAAGCTTTGCAAGACCAGATGCTCACTTGAAAGGCTTCGCCATGTAATTCCTAAACCACTCACATGAGGGCTGGATCTTTAATCTACCAGGTACATCTGTCCATGGAAGGTGAATGTCATTAGACTGCCACATACAGACATGACAGAACAGTAGGATTTTAGGGATTGCTCTTCAAGAGCCTGGAATGAAACCAGTTACCAGGCAATTACATTAAAATACGAAAGCTTTTTTTCTCTTTCACTGTTGTGTGTCCACAAAATCTGGAATAATCACATCTCCTATGTAATTTTGGAGGCCTTTTCTAAAAGCTATCTTACAGGAAAGACCTTCAAAGTCAGGGGGAAAGAGATTTTAACAATTAAGAAAAGCTCAAAAAATTATTTCAAATGTAAAAGTGCTACAAGGGATTAAATAGAATATACAACAAAATACATGCTTCAGTGGGGCCTTAAATTCTGCTGGCTCTGTGGCCTCACCTTTGCAGTCTTTATCTTCTGTGGTGAGGACCGTGATGAAACTGGAATAGCCAAACTGCTGCCTGATCTTTCTGGTGTTGGATACGACATGTGCTGTGTATTTTTGCCTTATACCTTCAGGTTTTCTGTCTGTTGAAGGTTCATAAATCTGTAGTAAACAAGAAATCATCTATGTGGTATGTGAGGGCCCTGGGGGGCCCAGTCAGAAGACCTAATTCTAACTCTATTTCAGCCTATTTAGTTGGAGAACGCTGGCCAGGTCCCTTAACCTCTCTGAATGTTTTCTCATCTGTAAAGTGAAGGAGGTGGACTAAGTAATCTTTTATCATTCTAAATTCTTGATATAAAGGGTATTCTGGCTAAAATGTGATCTCAGAAAAGTTAGCACTTTTAGCCCCTAAGGTAAACTTCTGGATTCTCTTGAATAAAATTGACTCAGTGCAGTATTTTAGTGCAACAGATTTTCTGTACATACCCAATCTAATGTGTTCTTGAAAGTGCATATCTATAACGTGAAATATTCTGAAGGTTGGAGATAATTTTCCTAAAATGCTGTTTGAAGCTTGAAAGTAAATATTTCATAATTATTTTAAATAAAAGGGTCCAGGTAATGAAGATATGCATTGTATTCAAATGTAAATACTGACAGAAATATTTACTGTTTTTCTAATTTTGATGTTGGAAATTTTTTATTTCATTATGAATACTCTTTATATCATACAAATATAATGTATTTTGTTCCAGATATTTTTATACATTGGTCTACTTAGGCGATTTAGCATCAATATAAAAATGGTAATAATGCCTTTTGTTTGGTAGGTGCCAGAGCGCTAATGTATTAATATACTGAATGCTGGCAGATACCCTGCGAGGTAGGCACTTTTATTATCCCCATTTTGCAGATGGTAAAACGAAGGCACCAGGAAGTTAAGTAACTTGCCTAACAAAGGTCACACAGATAAACTGGGATTTTAATCCAGACAGTTACAGAGCCCAGGGCTCTCACTCTCATATGCGTTACAGATACGTGATACAAAAGATGCCAATTTACTGAAGATAAACAGGATGAGGCCCAGTAGAAAATTAGGTTATGCGCAAAAAATTAAAATTTATGAATAGAGTCATTTCATTACAAATGTCCTTGCTAATAATAAATATGGAGAGGAAGTAAGACTGCTTTGTGAACTCGAGCCCTTGTTTAGTCTATTCTACAATCGGTAACCACCAGAGAAGAAATGAAGCCAAGCAACCCAGAGGTCCTGCAACCTATGACGGGAGGAGAGGTTCAGACTGAAGGACAGGGACTGGATTGGTGTAGGAGCTCTCTGCCCTCCAGACTCCGGGGGCAATGCGAATCCCCGCGGAGCACTGCCTGCTCCTGCGAGCCAGTGGACTAGAGGACTCCCGCCGGCCCCGAGGCACAGCCTGCAGTTGGGACCACCAACCAATCGGGCTGGATTGGCCTCGGCCGGATTCTGAGAAGGGAGGGAAGTGAGGAGAAATTTCCCCTCTAGCGCTCTCCTTCCCTCGGACAGAAACCGCCTTCACGTTAACTCCAATTCAGGGCGGCTCGGCGCAGCTACAGCCTCCAGAGCTTCCAGCACGCGCCCGCGGGCCTGGCTGCAAGGACTCTCCGCCCCCGCGCCCAGCCCACGGTTGGGTCGCTCGCGCGCCCTAGCACTTTGCAGGGGTTTTCCCGAGGCGCGCAACCTACTCGGGTCTCTGCACACCACCTTTCCCAAGGCCTCTCCGCGCCCACTCCCCCAGAGGCCGGGTGGGAAGGCCGCGGAGCGCACCGGCTCCCCAGTGGTCGCCCCTGTCCATCCCTTTCCGCCCACTCCCCAGCAGCAGGGAAGAAGGGTGGCCGCTCTAACAGACCCCCAAAGCCCCACCGCCAGAGCGCAGCCTCTGCGAAGGTCCCTCCCCCGCCCACTTCCCCCTTTCAGTCTCAGCAGCCTGGGCGCCCAGGATCGCTCCAACTTGCCGAGAGGGCGGGACCGTCAACCGCTCCGGTTTGTCCAAGAAACCCGCGGTGCCCGCAACCTTAACTGCCTTTCCCCAGGCAAAGGGTAGGGAAACTGTTCCGACCACTCGTTTTCAAGGGCGTGAATGCCGACAGCCAGTCAGAACCCCGAGGTCCGGGGGCGAGCGCCCATTTCTCGGCCCTGTTGGTTGGGTTCTTCTCCAGAGCTGCTCCTCTCCTAAAGGGAGGTTCTGCGATTCAGGGAGTGTCTCCCATTCCCTTCCCACCTGCGCTCAAACTGCCCGCCTCCAGCGCCACCCAGCCCCTTCCTTGTCCTCTCCCGTAACCAGTAAGAAATGCCGACGTTTCCACCCACTTGGAGTTCCCCAAATTCTCTTCGGTTGTCAATGTGCATTTTAGCCTTGAAGATCTAGGCTCCTGCGACCCCCATCCACTCAGTGACCCCAGGCCACAGAGGTTGAATCGTACGGACGCCCTGGGGAACTCTGTATAGAAATTGATCCTGGTGTCTACAAGCACCCCCTGATAACACAGTTTACACCTCCGTCCCCAAATAAGCACTGACTAACCTACGGCGCTGGAGCTGCAGAAGAGGCAACAGACCCGCACCCGCTCCCGCCACCGCTGCGATGAGGGTGCCAGGTCCAGCCCAGAGTGCTTTCCCGCCCGAGGGCTTAGGCCAGTCCGAGGGGAAGAAGGGCGGGACTGAAGGAGCGGGATACTCACGATTCCACTGTCCACCTGGGAAGCTGGAGGGGAAGGTCCGGCCAGCTCGTCTCCGTCGGCCGTGCGCATGCGTCCCGCGTGTGCCAGATTTTTATTATAATACCAAGTGCTGTCCTTACCAACCCCTCCGATCGCTCTCACCGGCTTTCCTCTTCCTCTGGCTCCCGGTCTTTCCTCTCGCCCCCTCCTCCCTCCCTCTTCCTCGCTCGGCTTTGCCTCCTCCCCGCAACCTCCCTACGCTCTCCCGGGCCGGGCAATTCCGGGCTTGCCTCCCTTCGGCGGCAGCACGCTTCACTGGGGCGGGTGCTGGGGAGGAGCGGTGTCGCCCGAGGCCATACGCGGGACCCAATCCGCGCCCAGACCGTAGCCCCCTCCTCCAACTGGAGACTAGGAAGTACCGAGAGTGTGGGCGCCAAGCCAGGCGTCTGCAAGGCCCGTTCTGCTATCCCTTTGCTGCAGCGCGCTGGGGCCGAACTAGACTCCCCTGTGCTGGACTGTGTACTCGGACCTTGGGAATGAAGTGGGGCAGAGGGAGGTGCGAGTGTGGGTGTGCGGAGGAGCAGGGCGCGCGTAGGTGGCGCTCGGGCCCTGGACAGCCAAGGCACCGACTGGTCCCGCCTCTGGAGGGCAGCCCCTACCTTCCGCCTTTTCCCAGGGTGTTTCTCCAAGCTCTGCCCCTGTCCCACCCCGATGCATCCTCCGTCACTGGTTGTTCCGCACTGGACAGGACTTCTCCCCGCCAGCCAGAGTCGGACGCCCCACGTGGCTCGGGGAGGAAGAAACTACGGACTCCTGATCTCCCTGAGTCTCTAGGGGCTCCGAAGTCCGGGGAAAAGGGTCGACCCGGAGGGTGGCGGAGGAACCCTGCCTCCCAGCTCTGCGGGTCCAGAGAGCTATAGTCCCTATAGCGCACCATGTGCCCTCGGGAACCAAAGACGGGCAGACCGCTGGGGCCGTGCGCCGAAGCTCAGGGAGCTAGCTGAAGCTGGAGGCTGACCTGACACACACAAAAATAGCATTACGTCATTTCCTCCCAGACCTCCCGAGCCTGCAGAAGCCGAGAGGGTAGGGAGAGTGGGAGCGCGAGAAGGGCCGGAGGCGCGTCTAGATAAGACTTGGAAGAGAGCCACCCTTCGTGAACAAGAACTTGAGAAACAGTTTGAAGCCAAGAAAAATGAAGGTGGAGGCGGCGGGAGCAGCGAGTAAAAGTGACAGGACGGCGAGGCGCGGGATACTAGGCGCTCAGGGCGGGGCGCGGGTCCCCAGGGCGCGGTGGACGCTCTCCAGGGTCCTGAAGGCGGGAGAAGCCGCGGGCGACCTCGTGGGCTTGGCACGGTTCCTCTGCTCTGCAGTTGCCAGGCCCTGCTTGTTTTCTTTCGCAGTGGAAGTTTTGTGGGAAGCGATTGTCAGGAGGAAGGAAACCTAGCAACCCATTCTCATTCATGAGGCCCCTTCTGGGAAGACGCCTAGTGCGTTGGCTGATTTGTCTTTTAGTCGTTTGTATGCGCCCAGGGAGACAGTGAAGTCTAGTTTGCATTTCCGACTAAGTTCACACTGTTTCGCTTCCCCTTATTACCTTTTCCTGGAGAATGGGGTGGTTTTTCGAGTGTGTTCGTTCTCCCAGTTCAGATGCTTCTTTTCCTTCCCCCGCCTTTTGGCCGGCTGCGTTTTATCCTAGGGGTTGCAGCTGAGAGCCTGGGAGGCCACTGGAGAAGTGCGGACAGCTCACTTGAGGGGGGAATGAGAGATTTGGGAAGTGCTCAGAGACAGCCTTGGCGCCAAGCGTTTGTCTGGCTGGGCAGAACGGCCGAGACTAGCCCCTCGGGCCGGGGTTCGGGTGGGGGTTGGGCCGCCGCGGAGCAGCTTGACGCGAGAGGGTCCCGGCTAACCCTTGCTTACCTGCGGGCCGCCGCACGCCAGCAGTCGCTGCGGAGTGGGCCTCCAGCGCAGTTCAGGAACCTCAGCGGACGCGTGTGGCCGGGCTGAAAGGACTCTGCGCTGAGGAAGTCAGGAGAGAGGTGGTTGGGTCCCAAGCTACCCAGGGCTTGATTAAGTCTCCACGGCCTACCTGCTCTGCCTTCTCTCAAGGGCTTCAAAAAAGCAAAAAACGCTGACAGCGAGCGGCAGGCACTCTTCTCCGACGTATGCCCCATTCCTAGGGGCTCAAAGCAAACTCCATGCGCCTTTCGTGGATCCCAGAATTCGTGTCTCCAGCTCATGTTTTCAAGTGGTTTTGTGAAAATGTCAACCTGTCAGCTGACTCCTCTCTTCTCTCTCCCCAGCCCTTCAAACCTGAGTGACTTGTACGCCCCTTCTCCAGTATGCTTCATTAGGCATTTTGATTCGGTCCTGTGCTTAAAGACAGAGACGCTTGTGAGGGAAAAAGCTGAAATATTCAGGCAGAATGAAAGTCCGGAACTCAGTCCCAGAAACAAAGCCTGCTGCCCCAGTTCTGGCTCGCATCCGGCAAAGAACCAAAGGCTTCTCTAAGTAGCAGGAGTGGGCAGCATTATAGGTGTAGGGTGCTGAAATCCATTGACATCCTTTGGCTCTTCAGGCAAGGACAGAGCTACAGAGTATCAATGCAGCCACGAAATTCGATCTGAGAAAAGTTATCTGCGGAAAGAACTTCAGCTGCTGCGGTGCTGATTACTCCAGAAAGCCCTATGTTCCTTTTAGGCCAGATATTCTAGGCGACATTCTGAGGGTTTCAGTAACATTAGCCACAAAATGGAATAATCTTGGAATCCATATTCCGGAAATAACTGCTCCTTAGGGATTCAGAAGACTTAGGGAATACTTTTTTCTGATGAAATGCCCACTTCCCTAATTAATCATGCTGGCTATTGAATCATGCAGAAGGAGAAAACCACCACACCCCAAATCAATATAAATAAAGTCTCATTCCTTTAGAAGGCAAATTGAAATTTTTCATTCACCTGGCTAAGTAGTTTCATTTCATAAAGGGAACATCCATGGTAGAATTAAAGTACTTTTTCACCATAAATTTATGAGAGACTTTAGAATTAAAATCACAGTTAGAATGGACTTTGAAATTAGATTTAATTTTATGAGATGACCTATTTTTTCCTGAATTTTATTTTTACAATTCTATTTTGCTGTGGTTTAGCCATATTATTCATTTTTAATTTCTGTTATTTGTAGAAGTAGCTCAGTTGGATCTAAGAATCCCATCGATAGTGATTGAAAACTAGAGGTAAATCTTTGCTTGTGCTGACTATAAATCATGGAGACTGGAAAGCAAATATAAATAAGGTAAACAGACCATGACTATAGAGTCACAGGTTAATATTCATTTGAGGCCAAATAAATTATTAATAGCATGCTTCTATTCGGTTCACTTAGAATTTCAACTGTTAAAAAGAATACCTCTCCAGCTCATAATACTTCTGACTTCACCTATTCTTCTAATAATTTGTCAAGTGGATTTATGCCTAAGGCTTATGTGGAGGTGCCATAAGATGTATAATGGAGCAATGAGAATGAGGAAGGTGAGGCTAGAAATGGAAGTGGAGTGGACCAGAAATAAAGACAACTTAGGTGACAAGTATGTCTGGGAAAAGAAACACTGTCAAGCTCTGTCTGCTCAGTTCTTGCAGAGATAACTGGGCCCTCTGCCTCTGCACTGATGAGACAGGGACCCATAGATGTAGTCAGAATAGGGTGAGGGCCTCTGGAGGGGGCAGGGCAGGATATTTGCAGTCAGAGCAATGTAACTACATACAAGGAAACCCCCCTGCTAAAACTCTATGTTAAACATTGAGCTCTAGAATCATTCTTCAGTAAAATCAGTTAATGTTCCCCAGATAAAGAAGAGTAGCACATGTTTTATTATACTAACCATTTATAATCATGTGTAAGGTTCTCTTTAGCACACTAAAAGGCCCAGGCCTATGTGCTGTCTTCTTCAGATCTGACGAAGTGATTTTGCAAACTGAGCAATTAACTTAGCATGAAGACCCAGCTGTGGATGGCATGGTAAAAGGCAGGAAGAATTCCATCTTAAAGATAAGACTGCATTTTAACACCCAAGAAGTTCAAGAGGCAGGATTCTTTAGCAAATAGGCAATACCTCACCCCAACTTGGGGGCTGGGCAAGCAGCCTTTTGATATGCTCCCAGACTAAGGCGCTGGTGTCCCAGAGAGAAATCAAGGCAGGAAATTCCTTACAGTTAAGTTAATTTTTAATATTCAGAGACCACTTAACAGGTCCCCACCCCTGAGTTTTTTCATGTTCTCGAAAAATCCTCAACTGCCTATAAAACCCCCTAGACAACGCACCACTACGAACTCTCTTGTCACTTCCTGGCGTGAGCTGGGAGCTCTGTCCTTTCACTGTATCTCTAAGTAAAACCCTGTACCTTGCTCTTCTACCTTGACTGCTCATTCTTCGACTCCACAAACAAGAACCTGGCATCACTGATATTGCTAACCAAGTGAGGAGCTTAGGATAGGAGGTGGGTTTGTATCAATAGTGCCTAGAAAATTGCATGGCCCTTGAAAAGTGCTCAGTAAATATTTGTTGGACGAATGTATTAAAAAAAAAAAACTCAAATGTTATTTAGCCATGAAAAATAATGGAATTCTGATACATGCTACAACATGGATGAACCTTGAATACATTTTGCTAAGTGAAAGGAGCTGGACACAAAAGGACAAATACTGTATTATTCCA